ACCGACATTGTACGGTTTAGGAGGTCTATGTTTTTGGTCATACATGCGCTTATTGAATGCTTGTAACTTTTCATTCTGAGACTGAGCCTTTTCTCGAACCTCGGCTAAGTCATCTTCTTTTTCAGCTTCAGCGCCCAATAAATTTCTTAAAGGATCGCTAGGATCGTTTTGACTAATACCGAACAATAAAACGGATGGAGAATTACCAGTGGATCTACAAAACGAATTGTTAATAGCAAATTCAACTGTTCCCAAAGCTTTCTCCCACTTGTTTGTTAAAATAGCCAATTTTGACAACATTGGTGTTAAGTCTCGAGTGATTCTTTTGATCTGACCGTTTGATTTTGGTGACCCCGTCGCGACTTTAATATGCTGAATCATATGTTCTTGAACAAACTTTTCGAACTCATTAGAGGTAAAACAGGATCCCCGATCGGATACAATACGTAATGGTACACTATAGTGCCTAAAATAATTTTCTAACTGATTGATTACTTCACAAGTTTTGGTGCTCTTGACTGCATACAGTTTTACTAATTTAGTGAAACAATCAATGATCTCAAAAATATATCTTTTACCTGTCAAAGTTTTTTCTAATGGACCATAATGGTCAATATGTATGGTGACAAAGGGTTTATTTCCCTTAGGGATATTGTGTAACTCACTCGGCACAGCGCCACCAATTGGTGAAAAGGTGATACATTTCAAACAATTTCGAACATGATTTTTCACTTTTTCTTTAATACTAGGAAACCAATAGCTGCGTTTTAGATACTCCATAGTTTTGTCCACGCCAACGTGACCGAAATTATCATGACACATAGTTAAGATCTGACTTTCCATCAACGAAGGAACGTAAAATAAAAGCTTTCCTTTGCTCTTTCTATACACTAGTCCATTCCTAAGTTCAAATTTTGTACTTTCGCGGATTTCGAGTTCAGACTTAACCTTTTGAATACTCGAATCTAAATTTTGAGAAATAGCTAAATTTTGTTCCAGTGTATTTTGCTCTAGTACTAAAATATTGTTGGCTCGACTTAAAGCATCAACATGGATCATCCGTGTTCCCGGACGATGTTGCAATTCGTAGTCATAATTTTGTAAGAATAGTGCCCACCTAGAAATTCGAACATTAATATCTTTTTTATTCAGAGTAAGCCTAAAACTATCACAGTCTGTGACAATCGTAAAATGTATACCGAAGAGATATATATGAAATCGTTTAATAGCATAAATAGCGGCTAAACATTCCAATTCAAAGCTGTGATATTTAGATTCGGTTTCGGTCGTCCTACGACTGAAATAAAAAACAGGATGAAACTTTCCCGACGACTGTTTTTGAAGTAAAATAGCTCCAAACCCAGATGTGCATGCATCGCAGTGCAACTCTGTTTGGGTATGCGGATCATACACAGCTAAAAGAGGATAAGAAGCTAATTGATTTTTTACTTGTTCAAAGGATTCAAGTTCATTTTCACCAAACCGAAACTCAACATTCTTTTTTAACAAGTCATATAAAGGTTTTGTAAGGACGGAAAACCCATTTATAAATTTTCGAAAATAACTAGCAATACCAACAAACCTATGAACTTCCTTAGCATTTGTAGGAATTGGATACTGCAAAATTGCTTCGACATTTTTCGGATCAGGTCTGATGCCATCATTGTTTACTAGATATCCTAAATAAGAAATTTCAAACATAAGAAAAGCACATTTATCAATTCGAAAAAGCAAATTGTGTTGGGAGGCTGCACCAAATACTTCTTTCAAAATATCTAAATGTTCTTCGTAACTGTTGGTCGCTATTAGAATGTCGTCTAAGTACAAAATAATTTTGTTTGCTCGAATTAATTTATTGAAAACTAAATTAATAAATCTGTTAAAAACTCTTGGGGCATTAGTTAACCCAAAAGGCATTCTAAGATATTCAAATTGCCCTAAAGGTGTGATAAAACTAGTAAATTTAATCGACGATTCTGCTACACGAACATGATGGAAACCATCCTTAAGATCAAGGGTCGTAAAATATCTTTTGTTTCGAAGTCGATCCAGACTGTCTTCTATCAAAGGAGTAGGAAAGTTGTCTTTAATAGTAATTTTGTTTAATTCGCGATAATCAACGCAAAGCCTTAAATCACCTGTCTTTTTTCTTACCAGTACAATTGGACTACAGTAATCAGAGCTACTAGGTCTAATAATGCCTCGTTCTAATAGATCATCTAACATGTTTTGTAATTTTTCTTTTTCAGAAAAGGATAAACGCCGTGGTCTAAAAGAGATTGGTTGATTATTCTTAACACAAATGTTCATTTCGTAATTACAATCAATCTTTGGCGAGTCATTACATAAATAAAAATTATCATACACTTCCAAAACTTCCACTTTTTTATCATAATCTAAACAAGGATTGATCTGTACTTCTTTGTTACTTTTTATTTCTTCACCTACCTTAAAATCGACATGTAAAATTTCGTCGAAGTTATTTACTTTCTCAAATTCGTTTGAAATAATTTTTAAATGATCTAACGTAAACGTGAAACCCTTGGTATTGAGAAAATCTCTACCTAATATAGCGTTAAAGGACATGGTGCTATTAGGAACTACATAGAATTTTATGGGTAAAACAGTTTCATTAACAAATACTTCCGTGTTAAAAATACCCAAAATATCAAGCTTCGATCCATTCACACCCACGAAATTTAAATTTGGATTTAGACTTTCATTGAAATTATTTTCGGTGACATACCGAACTTTTACAACTGAAATTGGGCTACCTGTATCGATTAATGAATTCAAATTATAGCTACATTCGGTTTGACAATCATCTTTAACATTAATCTTAACGTTTACCATATAGGGATCTTGTGTCTCGGTTGATATCACATTGGTGGTGTTGTCTTCGTTTTTCTTCCCTGGACAATTCCTCTTCTGATATTCCTTTGAACCGCAATTGTAACAGGAACCTTTTTCCCTCACCGGAATTGGACAATTTGAGGCCAAATGGCCCACACCATTACAATTATAGCATCTTCTAATTATGTTCTGATTTGGAGGGGGTTTACTACTGCCCTTCGCTCCTACAGACCCCGGAGAATAAGTTCCTTTGTTTTGTTATGCTTTCGGAAACGTTGACCAACAGATTGAGTCGAAGGTGTACGGGTCTTTCTAATCTTCTCATAAACTTCAATTTTTTTCTTTAAGTCGACATAAGTTTTAGCTTCATACAACAAAAATTTGTGTTCAGGATCATCGTTGATACCTTGAATGACATATTCGATTACTGACTCCTCTTCAATTTGACCCTTTGAAGCGAGTTCACGCATCTTCAACAAGTATTCCTGGAGAGATTCTTCTTTTTTCATTTTTCTATTATTCAGCATGCGATGCAGTTCAGCAGTGCTCACCTTCTTGGAAAATTCACTCAATAACCTGCGTTTCAAGTCCTTCCATGTACCCAAATTCCTCTGACTTTGGATAAATAACTTAGCAAGCCCAGTTAATGATTTCTTCGCAAAAACTAGTCGTTGCAATTCCGACCACTTCATAAGTTTAGCGATGTCTTCAAAGTCTGCGACCCAAGTCTCGATTGCATAATTGTCATCACCACTAAAAGTGCGTACGGAATCTTCGATGTCTCTGAAAGACATGGTGAACGTAGGGACCTCTGCCGCGCCTGCTCGACCATCATCATTGTCTACCGGATCATCTTCGTCGTCCTCGTCTTCACTCTCTGGTTCTTGAACAACTCTTTCTTGTGTAAACAGATCAAAATCAGTCAACACTGAACAAATTCTCTCGGCCACTTCTTAGTGAGTACCTGCACAATTCAACCCCAGTAGAAGGCCGACTCCACAAAGTTCTGCGATCGTAAAATTCTGCACTACCTCATCCACTTTCTCATTGAAGTCATCTGATGCGATCTCAAAAGGGAAACCCGTCCATTGACACAGCTTCCTTCGATGCATAAGGACCATTCTTAATAGCGTCGTCACACAACTCCACTTCTTGGAGGGTTCTTGCCATCTTCTCCTTTTATGAAAAACGTGATGAGTTGACATAACCTCACATTTCCCACGTGCTTGACTCTTCTACCATTTATCCGTGTGACTATTCCATGAATCAGCACTTCACAAACACAAATCGGACATTGGTCATTCCGATGTTAAGGTTGTTCATCCCACACCTGAAATTGTAGTCGGTTTTTAGTAAAACTAATTTTTAATCTTCGAACGAGCGGTTTTATTAAAATTCTGTTTAGATACCGTCGTGTCCCGTACTGCTTCCTCCTCCCTGCTGCCATCTAGTTGTAGCGCCAAATTTGAAATTTTAAATGTAGGTGACCACAATAGTTTAATGCAATTAACAAAATAAGAATTAATTAATTATATAATTGTGAAACAAGTTAATGATGAGTGAAACACAAACATACAAAATAATCTACAGTTTATGTGCAATACCAACTTTAACTGGAACTATCTACCTATGAACAATCTCCAAAAAAAAATTTTTTTGACGACTTAGGCATAATGTCCTATTAGATAGTTATTCATCACATAATAACCTTTCAGAATACATTTTCAGAATGCTTGTAACAAGAATTTTTTTTAAAATTGTTCTATTGTGTAATATACTCTTATCACATTTTTAGGTGAGACATCTCACTCTCGGGAAGTAAAATGTGAAAAATATTACAAAAAAGGAAGCTAAAAAGTAGTAGTAGTTCCCACAATCCCAAAGACTAAATACATTGTTGTCGAGTTAATTTTTTAAGACAATCTATTTTTATACAACATTTTGTGCCTTTCCATATGTCCTTTTTTGATCACGTAACTGACACATTTTTTTAAATAATCACTGTTTCAAAACTTCTTATTTCGCCATTGGATTGTTATTTTTGTTTGCTGCATATTCTAATTATACATAAAATACACCACTAAAAAGATTTATTGTGTTTAAATACGTCAAATTTTATTTAGATATGCTCTAGAGGAAACAGAACATGAATTAACATATGAGCTTTATTAATCACAAATTGTTTTTTATAGCTTGTAGTAGAACATTTTTGTCTCCACATAATGCGTCATGATCATCATCATTCACAGCCCACATCATAACTCCACCTAAATTTCGACTTTTCGCATACTGGACCTAGAATGAAATGAAATTCAGTTACTTTTTACATTTTACAAGTTCTCCAATGAGAAGATGTTCTACTGACAGGGTAACGGGAGAATTACTCATTTAGTCCAAACACTGTAAAAAAATTCTTTGACCCTTGTCTAATACACTCAATATGAAAAATCTGAAAAACTAACTATATCTATAATGTGTTGTATTTAAAAATACAGTTTTCGTATGTCTGTTAAACTGCCTCATAGAATTTTTCTATAGTCCATGTGTAATCTTCTGTCACCACTCCGTTGGGACCCCTTTGATATTCCAACATATTAATTTCTAATGATTCATGTATAGAAATATAAACTACTTAATAAGAACTTTGTTATGTTAAAATTGATAAGTTTCCTATCTACGAAAACCTACCTTTAGTCCTATTGATTCAGCGTTGTCGTAACCTATCCATTGTTCCTCTGAATATTTGTATGGCACTTGCTGTTCTTCATCCCAATCATCTGTCCAACCATCACTTAATGGACATATCTTAAAAAAATCATAGTGTCATCTACATATCGAACTGATTTTCATACCTCGTTATATGAAGTGTAATCTTCTTGTGCACCTTTAGCAGGTGATCCAACAACATGTTGACTAGAATCCACCAATTGAAAAATGTGTCCATAGAATCCAAGACCTAAAATAAGTTTAGTAGGATCAGCACCACTATTTAACCAATTGTTAATTGCAGCGTCGCAGTTTGCATTATTTTTCTCCCAATCCGTATCTGTAGAAGAAGCATACAGAGGAGAGTTTTCTCCAGTCTTTGTATCATCAGCAAATCCATGAAAATCGTACGTCATCACATTAAGAGTATCTACAATTCTATCAAAACATGTACACATCTTCAAAATCAAAAATTAGGTTTTTTTACTTCGAGAGTTCACCGACATTGTAACTATCAGGGTCTGGATCAGAAGACACTGCAACTGTGATAATACCCCCTCCATTGTCATCGAGAGCTTTACGAATAACAGAAACCATATCAACTAGGTTTTCCTACAAAAATGAGAAATGAAATTGTTTGCTTGATGAAAGGCTATGAGTTACTTTATCATCCGCCGTTCCCCCATTTTTGCCCGGATAAACCCAGTCAATGTCAATACCATCCAATCCATAATTTTCCATATAGTGAACAAGAGTAGTGGCCAAATTTGCCTTTTTGTGATCATCGGCAGCTACATGTGAAAAAGCAATTGAATCTTCGATCCAACCTCCTACAGTTATCAACAGCTTGACATCTGGGTTCTTGGACTTAAGAACGCCGAACTTTTCCAAAACGGATTCTGTCATTTGTTAATTTTACAGAAATATATATACACATTAATTAAGAAAGATGTTTTTACCATCACCTCCTCCAGAATCGAAACGAAAATTGCCATCTTCATTGAGCCTCAAGAAGGCAAAGTTAACGTGGGTACAGATACTGATATCAATATCATCTGGTGTGAAAACATCTTCCCTGGTCCAGCTTTTGTAATAACAAATCACTTTATCTGCTCAACAAAAAAGAGTTGGAGAAGTGTTAACGAGATAGTAATATTTTTACCTGTCGCAGTTGATGCAGACTTTAGAGAAAATATTAAGATAAGCAAAACTGTGCAGATTTTTGTAATCATTGTGAACTAAAAAGCTTAACGAAGCACTGTGATAACATTTCTACTGTGTTGTTGTACTTATAGGAGAAATTATCCTGGTAATGATATTGAAAAAAAAAGTAATATCAGGTGATAATTTTTTACGATAGCGGTTTACTTAAAAGCAATTGTGCTGTTTTTTGTTAATATTTTGTTAATTATACTCAACGGTGAACAGTTTTGTAAAAAACTACATGAAAAAACGTAACAATGTGATCTGATAAATAGTTAACATAAAAGTTTTAAATTTAATCGCAAAATGTTATCTGAGATACGTAATTAAAAATTGGTCTAAAGAGTTTAGACAGTACTTCCCTCGCTGTCGGAAACTTGACGACTGCATGCCTATTATGTTTTTTTTTCTCATTACATTTTTGTAGTGGGAATTTAAAAAAAAATTGTGATGACGTCATCAACATTTTTGCAAGGACACGTATATCAGTTGGGATAGATGTAGTGTAATACTAAGAATAAAATTATTGTGTTCCCAAATTTTCGGGAAAATGAATTGGGTCGTTTTGAATATTGATTTCTTATAATCAATAAAATAACGAAACAAGTTACTCACGTATACGGCGCCGGTGTGTAATATCTAGAGAGCGGATTTCTGTCGGGCTAGGCAAGGCCAAACTCGGTACGGCTCGCATGGGATGCGAATTCATTGCAGTTGCGGACTGCACTTCGTTTATTTGAGATTAGAATAACGTTGTTTCGTTGCACTCTGCTGTTAATTCCCGTTCTCATTTACTTAGCCGTTTGATTAATAAATCGTTAATTATATTTATGGAATCCAGCACGTCCCCCCCTATAATCGTGACGTAGCCCGACAGAAATCCGCTGTCTAGTAATATGAGGGGCAACTGAAAATCGTTTATGTATAAACATTCTTAATTTAAGATGACAAGCGTAACAGCATACGTGAGAGTCAAACAGAGAAACTGTAAACAAAACGACCATCGGTTTTATTGCTTCGACTTCCGCATATTATATAAAACGTTGGGTTTTATTTTAATTCTTGACGGTGAAATTCACAATTGGTTGATTATAAACATGTCTATTTCACATTCGCGGAACCAAGTGAACGCATAAAACAAATGCAGGTCTGTAATGTTAAAGTCGATGTAAATAAGCGTTCTACCCTTATGTTTCAACCGAGTTTTTCCTTTAACAAATTTTGTGTCTACCAAATTGGGTTGGTTGGGGTGTAATACTAATAATAAGTGTTGCCTTTAATTTAATCAATAAAATAAATTGACTTCATTAATTTTTTTGAACCACCTCTTAAGAAAATCTAAAAAATATGAATGGAATGATAAATCACAAGTACAAACTCATCATATTTTTTGCATTTTAGATAGGATTTATTCAGCAAAATTTAAGGGTGACGTCATCAATTTTTTTAGGAGGGATGAACAAATACATTTTGAACAAAAGTTTACCATGCTTATAATAACTTTAAAATATTCCCAAGATTTCAAAGCATTCGGTTTTGTAATTCCTGATTAAATCGATAAAATAAATTCACGCCTTCATTAATTTTTTTGAGTCACCCTGCATATGCAAATCCAAAAATATGAATGGAATGATAAATTACAAGTACAGACTCATCATATTTTGTACATTTTAGATACGATTTATTCGGCAAACTTTTGAGCTGACGTCATCAGTTTTTTGTAGAAGATAACCAAATATATTTTGACTAAAAATTTATTATGCTCTTTATAACCTTACAACATCTGCAAGATTTCAAAACATTCGGTTTTGTAGTTCCTGATTAAATCAATAAAATAAATTTACGCATTCATTAATTTTTTTGAGTCACCCTGTATATGCAAATCGAAAAAATATGAATGGAGTGATAGATCACAAGTACAGACTCATCATATTTTGTACATTTTAGATATGATTTATTCGGCAAATTTTCGAGCTGACGTCATCAAGTTTTTGGAGGGGATAAGCAAATATATTTTGACTAAACATTTATTATGCTCTTTATAACCTTAAAGCATCTGCAAGATGTCAGAGCATTCCGTTTTGTAGTTCCTGATTAAATCAATAAAATATATTTACGCATTCATTAATTTTTTTGAGTCACTCTGTATATGTAAATCCAAAAAATATGAATGGAGTGATAAATGACAAATACAGGCTCATCATATTTTGTACATTTTAGATATGATTTATTCGGCAAACTTTCGAGCTGACGTCATCAAGTTTTTGGAGGGGATAAGCAAATATATTTTGACTAAACATTTATTATGCTCTTTATGACCTTAAAACATCTGCAAGATTTCAGAGCATTCGGTTTTGTAGTTCCTGATTAAGTCAATAAAATATATTTACGCATTCATTAATTTTTTTGAGTCACCCTGTATATGCAAATCCAAAAAATATGAATGGAGTGATAGATCACAAGTACAGACTCATCATATTTTGTACATTTTAGATATGATTTATTCCACAAACTTTTGAGCTGACGTCATCAAGTTTTTGGAGGGGATAAGCAAATATTTTTTGATTAAAGATTTATGATGCTCTTTATAGCCTTAAAACATCTGCAACATTTCAAAGCATTCTGGTTAGCAGATTAAAAATTAAATTTCAAAATGTTGTTTTATAATTTTGATTTTTTTTCCAAAAATCTGGACGTTTCGGGTGAAAAGTCGATTCAGAGTTGTAAACTACATGTGTAGGACTATGTTATTTTATACAATTGAAAACCCATTTACTATGTACAATTTTGAAGTGACGTCATCGCATTAGTGGTGGGGATGATTTGACAAATTTTGGTTAGCGTTTTACCATCTACATGATATTCTTAATATAAGTACAAAATTTCACAACAATCGGTCGAGTACTTTCGGAGATTATCTGTCTAATAAAAATCCGAGACGGCAGACGGACAGACGGACGGACAGACGGACGGACAGACGGACGGACAGACGGACAGACGGACAGACGTACAGACGGACAGACGGACAGACGGACAGACGGACAGACGGACAGACGGACAGACAGACGGAAATGGGAGACCTATTTCTTCGTCTTCTAGGGGTCATGAAAGATCGAGAAAACGTAAAAGTAGAGAGTCGGCCGACGGACTCGATTACAATACTTCCTTTGCTTACGCTCGGGAAGTAAAAATTTAAAAATATTCTGTAAAAAATTTGTTAAATGACTTTATTAGCACCAACACTAAGTGGTGAAATAGAATATGCTAAAATATTGAAAAAAAAACGTTAAATTTTGAAGGGCTATATCTTCTACATTTGGACACAAAAAGAATTTTTTAATTAATTTTTTTTTTCTGTTCCATAAACACACGTCAACAGCGTGCCATAGAGTTGGTAGGCCATTTTTTCAGCACCCTGTATATAATTATGATAGTAAATATCAGACTGTAATGAAATTGTATGGCTGGCTGCGTTTAGAATAAATTTTTCAGGTGAAGAACGTGTTGTGAATACCTGTATTTTTGTATGTTTACATAAATATGTGCACTTGTACTAACACAACTAGTGAGAATAACTGAATTTTTAATGCTCTGGAAGGATTAACTGTGATGATTCCATAATTATTGGAAAACTTCCATTAGATTTACTACTTATTACAGCTTTTATAGTTGTCAAGTTTGGTATTATAACAACCATTACAGTTATTAACATCGTCTGCATTATGTACTGTAATATGTAGATGTCGTCTAGTGTGTCTAATTGTGGACCAGAATATCTTTTTAATCAAGCCGTTTTTAAAAATTTGAGGAAAGGTCTTTCCCAGACACGTGAATTTTATAACATCAACATCGATGTAAGAGAAGGGTTAAACAATGTTTCGAAAATTTATATCCCTTTAAGCTGGTTTGCTACGTGCAAGTCTGATGAGATTATTCATACATTGTTGTTAAATATAATGCAATTCAACATTGTTTCAATTCTTAACTAATTTTTCAGGAACTTAAATATTAATTAATAATCTATTTAATCGTTTAAAATAATGATTGTTTTGATTAAAATATTGTAAGTGACAGTAATTAGTTTTCCTTTTATATAACTTGCAATGATCAAGTGATATTATAATGGCGTTACTATGGTAAATTTTCAAACGATGTTAAATTTTTGATGGAATACTCCAACTTCCCAAATTTTCTAATTTTCCTCTGTTGTGCAGTTCCTGATAAGTATATTGATGCAAAAAAAAATAATGACTTAATTTATTTTATTGATTAAATCAAAAACTGCAAAACCGAATAACTTAAAATCTTGCAGACGTTTTTTGAAATTATTGCAGACATCTCTTTACCCCCCCACCTCAAAAAATTGATAACGTCTCATGTCATAATTTTGCCGAAAAAATACTATCTAAGTTGTGCAAATTATGATGAGTCCATACTTGTGATTTATCATTGCATTAACATTTTTGTACATTTGGATAAATAAATTGATTTATTTTATTTAAATAAATCAAGAATAACCCACACCAGTGACAGTGTTCAACCATCAAGGCAAAAATCGAGTCACCGAAATATAAGTTAGTATGGGGTAGACACCTTGAGATGGGAATCTCTATGGCCAGTGTTAGAAAAAACGCACTGCACAATTTATGCATAAATAAAAGTTAATTACCTGAAAAGTTTTCGATATTCCCGTTGCTAATGTGTTTTTCAAACTGAATGCACATTTTGACGACGTTCCACGTTAATGAAAGTCGCCATGTTTAGTCAAAATTCACTCTTACAACGATCCCACTCGTTTTCTAAGCTGCTTTACAGACAGCTCAGTCATTTGCCACTCCAATGCTCATTTTTAGATTAAATGGTCACAAAATGCGTAGATGTTCAATTTGTATCCAGGGAGATACAATGTTTCCAAGTAGGTACTCAGTACATAGAGTAGATCCTCAGCTATATAAGAGTAATCCTGAAGTAGGTACCTCGTACTTCGTATCTACTCAGTTTTATTCATACCACCCAATGTCTCCCTTCAATGATATTCATGAGAAACTGAG